AATGGGCTTTGGGTCTTCACTCCGCACTCCCCACATCATTCACTATGGATTGAAAGGTTTAGGATCATGGTTTCATGGGGCATCTAGTTAATTTGCTTAGTCACTGGTTATTTCACACCTCAGTTTTTAGCATAGTGTCCAAAATTTGTAAGAGACTATCCAAGTTAAAAAAAAACAAAACAACACTCAAAATCTGGTTTCTATTTGTCTGGAGCAACAGAAGAAGGAAAGTCATAAATTGGGAATCACATAAAATATGTAAAATAATCGACAACACGAACAACTGTCTCCTTTGCCATAAGACCAGTCCTGGATGGTGCACACCTACTATTGCTGATCATGTTAATCAAAGATTCAATAGGAGAATTCTGATCTAAAGGAGAAAAACACAGAACAGAATTTCAAATTCTTATTGACTACAGACTTTTGAGAGCCATGGGGGCTGGATATCCTCCTGAAGCCACTCCTTGAAGTTAACCTTTAAACCTTGAATCCCAATTATCTGCTAAGCCTTTTAAAAACGAAGTAAAAATCTAGTTCAATAAGGAAAAACTGTCTTGAGCACTATGGTCAATGAAGAACTAATTAAATAAGATTAAATTGATAACAGCAACTTGAAAGACTAGCTAAGAACCTTAGGGTAAGTCTAAGTCAACAGGGGGGGAACAACCTAGGAAGAGAGGGTGGGCTGTTCGTACAGTCCAAAGCATCTAATCCATGCCATGGACATTCAGCAGTAGTTAAACTGATGTCACGTTCTGCTGTGTTTATTCTCAAAAACAACAAAATGCAAGACAAAGAAGGTGCCAAAAAAGTTTGTTGGATTAATCTAGAATGCCAAAACTAAACTCTATATTTTGTCAATTTCATTCAGTTTAACAAAATATTAATTGCGTTGGGGGAAAAACTGATTGTATATGATCACTTGCTTCAGCCTAGCACCACCAGACAAAAGAGACAATGATGTTGCTTCATTTAAAACATGAAATGGCCATAATATATGTCCAGGAGCGGACTAAAGAGAAACTTGCCATTCTTAATTAAGCATTCTAAGAATATCTGTGTTATATTTTACTAGGGGGTGGGGGTAGAGGGAGGAGTCCCATTATTTTAGAGTTCTTCCTGATGTCCTAGGAAGTACCTACTACATAAAGTAGCAATCATTATAAGAAATTGTTAACCATTTGCAAAGCACTCGCCTCTGAACAGCTCAATTTTCAGTGTACTTGGATTTAGAGGAAAGGGTGAAGCAATACACATTATCACTTGATGATAATCGTGCCATTAATGGTGAGGCATTCAAATAGCAAAAAACAAAAACAAATGCACAATATCTGAAGTCATATTTAACAAGAAAATAATTACCTGTCCTGGAACAATGGTATGAGTGAAAAGTTTGTTCAGTTCTACTAGTTTATTGGGAGTGATGTTAAACTTCAGTGCTATGGAGTTTAGGGTGTCCTGGCTCCCAGCCTAGAATAATCAAACAAGATATGTTACTTCAAAAAAACTCCTCTGGCTAGACAACATTAACCTACTAATGACATGCATGGACAAATCAGCACTCATATTATTAAAAAGAGAAAAAGTACATTCTGACTCCGTAAGAGGGAACCCTGGTGGGTGGTGGTTACAAATGGGCTGCTACCCCAAGGTCAGCAGTTCCACACCATGAGCTGTTCTGTGGGAGAAAGATGTGGCTTCCCATAAAGTCTCAGACACCCACAGGTTCAGTTCTCATCTACAATCTTGGGTTAGGCCTGTAAGGAGGACTGGCTACACCAGAGGAGCCTTGAATTAGGTGGACTCATGGGGAAGCTGAAGTGAGCCCTCGTGGTGTAGTGGGGTGCAAACTGGGCTGCTAAGTGCAAGGTCGGCAATTCCAACCCACCAGCTCGGCAGGAGGACGATGCGGCTCTCTGCTCCTGTACAGATGTGCAGTCTTGGAAACCAAAGGGGCAGCCCTAGCGTGTATGTCCTACAGGGTTGCTAGGAGAATCAACTCGGTGGCAGTGAGGTTTCTTTGTTTTTGTTTAGAAAGGCTTTAAAGCCTTTCTAGAGACTTTAAACATCATTGAGGACTGATATAAACAGTATATGCTCCTACTTATAGCCTGAGCAACATCACCCCTAATTTAAAAATAAATTATGTGTATATTTTAATATGATCTGTTTACATAATACATTCAAAACCAGAGGCTTTCAGGGTTTAGAGCGTGAGGACAAGGCGCAGATTGCGTCTCAGGAGCCAGGCAGCAGGGTCAGAAATCTGGCTCTTGCTAGTCGCCTACTCTTTATGTAACCTCCCTGGTGCCAGTTTCTTCCCCCAGCGAAAGAACTGGGGAAACATCTCCTTCAGGGCACTTCCTCCATGAGTGGTGATCCACGAATTTGCTGTGCAGTTTTATAAGTAAAATTTGTGCATCCTCAGAGGGCTCCGGAAAGGAGCAAAAAAATGAACAATCTGGAGTTACATAGAAGTACGAGAGAATTGGGCCCCAGACCCCGAGTGCAACCTTGACCTCATGAAATGCTAGTGACTAAGCCAGACTGCTTGAAGTCACGGCTTGGGAGCAGCCTCAGCAATCGAGTCAGCACGGTCTGGGTTCTCGAAATACCTGAGTCACCTTTTAGGTCCAATGACAAGTACCCAGCATTCCGTGTGAAGTAACACTTGTTTCCATACACATTAAGCAAACAGGAGGTAAATCTATTTTAGTGGATAGATAAGCATACCATTCATCAGGGTTTGGTATCATTCTCACTACCCTCTTTACTATATAGTGTGTGACACCCAGGAAACTACACGGCACTGCTCATCGCTTGAAAGGGACTTGTGAGTTAGTGCTGCACACCCACGGGTCTTAAAATTTATGGCTTTTAGAATTAATCCTGCTATTGTTGAAAAATAATTTAATCCAACTTCCTGGAGTGCTCAGTAGACATTGTGTTGAGTGTTACAATCCTAATTACCATTCGGGCCAGTGGTAACATGAGATCCAATCACCCCAAATCCTTTCTGGCAATGAGTGGGTCTAAAAGCCACAAAGATACGTGGAAACGTGTACAGAGCACGGAGCACGGAATGCCGGGGTCTGGGATCGTCACTGTGACTCTGCAGAAGCTTGGAGATTTACCGGTTCAAAAGAAACACCACTGAGGGGTCAAGTCCAGCTGGCCGCCTTATAAGGCAGGGCCTGGCCACGCATCAGGATGAAAGCTTATCAAACGGGCATCGGGAAGCTCAACTGGGCCACGGCAGAGGCACTAGATTTCATCTTAGAAATTGAGGAGAATGGTCTTTGGCAATGCTATTTCACAGTGAATTAAAACAGATCCATACCGGGGTGCCCATGTTGTGCCATGTCAAAGATAAATAAGATAGAGCTTGTCGAGTAGGGAGGGAGGTGAGCACGTGACACACAGTATGAGAGTACAATGGAAGACCTGTGCGCAGCATCATTCACCTATGGATGACACAATAACAGTGCCTGCACCCTTCCATGCGCCATCAATGCAAAGATGAACAAAACGGGGGCCAATCTCTCACCATGGATTTATGAATCACGGCACATGGCAGATACTAAAATAACCACCACCTGTGAATGCACAAATAATGTTGAGCTGAGGTAACTAAGTAAAAGAAGACTTGGTTTGTGGGAATATGTTTATATGATGAGGCTTCTTATCATAAGGACCAAGCAAGGATGGGGGTGCGAACGGGTATGCTGACGATGCATATGAATGCACGGTTTGGGCATTCAGAAGGTAGGTCGGCATCGGGGACTGAAAACTAGTGGTCACTGGCATCCCCAAGGGATTGCAGTCACTGGTGAGTGAGACTGTCCGGGAGAAAGCATAGAGGCAGGAGGGGTATTTTTGAAACACCAGAAATGTTTTTGGATAAGTGACCTTTTAAGTCAACTGCCTGGGAGAATATCCCATCTCTCTCCAGTCACCTGACAGCTACTAATCTTATCTTTTCCTTTTGTGTCTGGCTTAATCCTAGCATTTTTTTTGAAGTTCCTTCATGAACTAGCAGTTATCAATACTTTCATTATAACTTTTGATCACTAAGTAATTCCATTTTATGAACAGTCACATTTTTGTGCATATTTTACTGTGATGAATATTTGTACTGTTAGTGCTTTCTTTTGACTCTTTCCATTGTCTTACTGAAATATCTGTGAATTCCAGTTGCAAATTCCTCATGTGCCATGAAACGTGGGCTGTGAGGATAAATGACCCCAGGCCACATGGCTGTGCAATTTGTCACCAACTGAAAGAGGTGACCTCTTGTAGCCTAACCTGACTGTCCACTCTCCCGGGGTAATGTTGTTGAACTAATACATTTACTAAGAATAAGTCGATTGCAAGCAATAGCCTATGAAGTTGAAACCATGATTCCCAATAAAGAATGGGAAAAGAGGGAAGAAAAAGGATAGAGGAGGAAAGAGAAATAATCCCTCACTGATCTTGAACTTCCTAGTTAATAGATACACAAGAATAATGCGGCTAAGGGATCGGCTGTGTCATGAGACATTAGGCATAACTATTACTGCACACAGTCGCTTTCCCCTCTTGCTCATACTCACCGTGTACTCCACAGTCCCATGTGGCTTCGGAACCACCATCTTCTTCTCCTTTTTATCCTGGGTCTTGTTCTGGTTGTCATCTGAAGAAGAAACTGCATGTGAATGAATACTTTCATTTCCAGTGATTGAAGATAGGGTTAGTTTACAATATACAAGATCCACTTTCTTTCTTTCTTTTTTAACAGGATCCACTTTCAAGTGGATTTTTTTAAAGCACCAGAGGCAACCACATGGCTGTCCAGTAGGAGCTGCTCTTGAACCCCCTCTCAAGAAAACCTCTTGACGTTGTGGAAAGACAGCAGCGCCTGAGTTCCAGACTCCCCAGGACCTAGAGAAGTGGGTAAAAGTCACCTCCCTCCCCCTGCTGCATTTTAGCGAGCCCCTAGCATAACTGGGGAGAGGTTGAGGAGGAGCCTGGTGGAGAGGATACACAGGTCCCTGAGACCTGCGACTGGGCGGGTGCTGACTCACTGCGCCGGAGCCAGAGTGGGGAAATGGGTCTGCCACAGGCTCCCAGCGCCTGACGAGGCCTCTTGGATTGGGATTGTGCCGGAATGGCCCTAGAAATGGGGGTGATGGACTAACTCCGAGTGTGTGGAAGCACAAGTAGTACAGGAGATAGTCAACTCAAAACGTTAGCACCTGTCTGCCCACGAGCCCACCCCACGTAGTAACTTTGCCCAACCCCGACATGCAGGCCCTGCAGGAGATCGGCTTGGGGATGGTACAGCACCCCGGTACTCGACCGCGTCCAGACTTGACATAATCGGATTTCTATGCGAAGTATCGGGAACTTTGCATCAGAGTGCGAACAAAACATCAGAATCCGACCCGACGCACGTGATTTTTGTAAACAAAAGAAAACCACAAGAAAAACTTCCATAGAAAAAAATTAAAATTTCAGTAAAATAAACAAGAGGAGAACAAGACAAGACAAACAAGATAAAAACAAAACAGGCAAGACAACCAAGAAATGAACATAATACAAAAACTCATCATGAAAACCGAAACCAGTAACAGCATAAAAAGCATATAACAAAATGATACCAACAGAATCATATTTACAACATTGAATGTAAACAGATTGAACTCCCCAGGTAAAAGACAAAGACTAACAGAATGGATAGCAAAACATGAACTTTCATATGCTGCTCACAAGAAACACATCTTGGATATAAAGATAAACATAGAACAAAAATCAAAGGATGGAAAAAATATATCAAACTAACAGCAGTCAAAAGAAATCTGGAGTAGCAATATTAATCTTAGACAAAATAGAAATTAAAGCTAATGACATCATGAGAGACAAAAAGGTCACAATATAATTATAAAAGCTTTGAATGAACAAGAAATCATAATTATAATTAATATATTTGTACCCAATAAAAGGAAATAAAAATCTTACAGAAATGGAGACGTATCGATCATAATGTGCTACTTTCAACTAATGATCAATCAATTAGAAAGAAAATCAACAGACATAAAATAATACAATAAACTTGATCATATACATATACACATATATATATAAAAACACTTCACTAAAAGTTCATTTCACTTTCTTCGCTAGTACCCATGGTAGCTATTCTAGAATAGATAATAAAGCAAGCACCAATAAATTTAAAAATATTGAGATAATACAAACCATCTTCTCATCACAATGCCGTAAAATTAGAAATCAACCATAAAATGATCTTCTCCAAAAAATCCAATATATGGAAATTGAACAACACTTTACTTAAGTACCACAGAGTAATTGCTCTTTACTTAAAGAACAAAATCAAAATATTCCTTGAAACAAATGAGAATGAAAATAATCATATCAGAATCTTAGGGACATGGCAAAAGCAGTACTCAGGAGTGTAAAGCAATAAGAGAACACATCAATAAGTCAGAAAAAAATTAAACACCTTAACATCAATTACAACAATTGGAAAAAGTGCAGAAAAACAGACCATCAGATACTGGATGAAAAGAAATAACAAAGTTTAGGGAAGAAATAAATGAATAAGAAAAAAAATTTTAAACACTTTAGGAAAAAATTAATAAGACAAGAAGTTGTTTCTTTGAAAAGAGCAACAAAAATTGATAAACTACTGGCAAACTTAACAAAGAAAAAGTATGAGAGAAATCAAATTTTACTAATAAGAAATGAAATGGACATTATAACAGAACCAAATGATATAAACAATCAGACAGTATTATGAAAAATTGTATTTCAACAAATTTGAAAATCTAGAAGAAATGGCTAAATTTTTAGAAATGCATTATTTATCAAAATTGCCATAGAATGTTGTAGAAAATCTCAACAAACCTATAATACAAGAAAAAAATAGATCAGTCATAAAAATACTCCCAACATCAAAAGGTACAGGTTCAGATAATTTCCCTGGGGAATTCTATCAAACATTTAGAGAAAACTTAATAGAAATGTATGTAAACGATTCCACAATAAACAGATAATATACTACCAAGTTTATTTTATGAAGCAAATATCTCTAATGCCTAAACCAGAATGGAAAATTACAGACCAATATCTCTAATGAAAATAGATGCTGAGCTCTTCAATAACATATTAGCCAACAGAATTCAATTAAGCATCAAAAAAATCATGACCAAGTGGGATTTAAACCAAATATGGAAGGATGGTTTAATATTAGAAAATACCATCATTGTAATTCACCACACAAAGAGCATAAAGGAGAAGAACCACGTGATTATATGAATAGATGCAGAAAAGGAAGGCATTCGATAAAAACTCAACATCCATTCCTGATAATAGGTGCAAAAGAGAAGTTTCTCCACATAAGAAAAGCCATATATGTAAAACCATCAAGCAGCATCACATTTATCAGAGAGAAATTGAATACATTTCTTCAATGGGAACTAGACTTTATCACCATTTTTGTTTAATATAGTCCTAGAATTTTTAGCTAGAGCCATAAGACATCAAAAAGATATTAAAAGTATCTAGATAGACACAGAAGAAATGAAGGCGACATTTTTGTAGGCAACATATGCCAAATCTAGAAAACCCTAAATATTCCATTTTAAAATTGCTCAAACTAATTAAAAATTTTGGCAGTATAGCAGACTATAACATCAGCATACAGAAATCAATTGGGTTCTTGAATATTAAAGATAATGATATAGAAAAATATATTAAAAGGATAATCCATTTATAACACAAAAGATAAAATATTTAGGAATGAAACTTATGACAGAAACCAAAGGAAAATTATAAACATGACTATAAGAACTTTACACAAATGGAACAAGTTACCATGTCCCTGGCCAGTCAGACTGAACTTTGTGAAACTGTCAATATTGCCAAAGTTACTTTATAAATTCAATGGAATTAAATCCCATCACAATTCTTCAAAGAAATGAAAGAATCCAAGGATAAATTAAACACTATTAAAAAAATTAAAACAAAGTAGAAAGACTTTCACTCCCAAATTTTAAAAGCCATTATACAGCCACAGTAATCAAAACAACCTAGTGCTAATACAAGAATATATATGAAGCCCAATGGATTAGAATTGAGAATCCAGAAATGCAACCAAGTACCTATAGACACCTAATCTTTGATAAATGACTAAAACACATTAAACGAGAAAGAGACAGCCTTTTCAACAAATGGTGTGGAAAAACTACATCTTCACTGGCGAAAGAATGAAACAGAACCCATACCTCACACTATATACAAAAATGAACTCAATATGGATCAAAGACTTAAAGGGAAACCAAATAATTATAAACCATCAATGAAAAATTAAAAGAAATTGATTATGGCAACAAATGTACAAATGTGCTTGACACAATGGATGTATGTATGGATTGTGGTAAGAGTTGTATGATTTTTTTAAAAAGAAAAAAATAAGAAGTAGACTAAAGGCCCAAATAGGCCACACTCATAAAAGCATACCAGGAGGCCATGAACGTCTGAATAAATGCTAACGCTAAATAAAGGTAACACAATAATACATGCAGGAGCGAGGAGGCAATCATTTTGCTATGAACATCGAGTTTAAAATGAGAATGCATGATGATAAGGAGGCTAGAGCACGGTCAGCGTAGTCATGTGCATACTGAAAATCAGCACAGTCCTTGGAAAGAATTACGTGGCCACATTTTAAAAAGCCGAATAATGCTAGATAGAGTTGGTGGGGATGTGAACTGCTACTAGGAATGTACTACTACTACTACAGGTGATCTAGTAAATTAAGGATAGGCCCTGGATGACCCAGCAACCTAATCATAACTAAAATTCTTTCCTAGAGGTAGATACTTCAATAAGTGTACCATAACGTGACATGCTCGAGGCTGTCCATCGCAGGGCCATCTGTGGCAACTGAACACTAGAGTAAACAAAACATGGTTGGTACCCAGCAGGTGGTAAGTAGATACAATAAATTAGAGGTATAAACAGTGATGCATTTAGATAAAGAGAAACAGAATGGGATCTATGAAACAGTATGATGTAGGTACCTTTAAAATGCATGCACACAAAGCAACCACACACATTCTCCAAGCATCAATGCTTGGATAGAAATAAAAGGCCATACCTTATATGCAGCAGACTGGGGGGTGAAGAAGGCAATGACCGTGGGAGATGAGAACAAAAGGGGATTTGTGAGTAAATAATAAAGATGCTCACCTCTGAACAGGGAGGGCATGTCATGACCATAGACATGTCATTAATGTAGCCTTCTGTACCCGAGGGGACACACACACACACACACACACACCCCAACAATATAATTTCACCTATATAAAAACTATGAAGGTACTGGATGAGATCTGGAAGGTAACACAGAAACGTGAACAAAGTCAATTCATGTGAGACAGTATCTGGCTTTAATTTTTTCCCTCATATGGTTTAAAATAAAAGTCGAGAGATAAACTGATTTAAGCAGACGCTGCCATTAGAGTAATGTTTTAGATAATTGGACCTTCAAATAATTCCAGAAGACATTTAAAAAGCCACCTCCCCACTTTCTACTGGCCACTTTTAAATGACATCAGGAAGAATGAGACTAATAGATATTAAGATGAGAATAACAGAGAATTATATATATGGATCTTTAAA